CGAGAGCTAGAATTGCAAGGAGCCAGTTACTGACGAAGGAATGAATGCAGGGGGTGGGGGGAAGTTGAGGATAGCTACTTTTCTCATTTTAAGAACAGGGAATAAAGAGATTAGGAAAAGGGAGATCCAATAAAGATGAGAACGAAAAGGGTCCTTATAAAATGGATCCTTACAAAAATGCAAGTCAGATCCAAATCCTCTCACATCCTGTTAGAGTCACAGACAAAGTTCTTATGACAGTGGGTAGATTTCTGTATAACACGGTCTGTTCCTCTCTAATTTCATCTTCTAATCTCATCGTCACTCTGCTTGAGATCTTAGACTCACTTGTTTTCCTTCAGACACATCTCACAGTCTTTATACACTTGTTCCTATGCCCAGACCTTCTGCTCCAAGGTTTCTACATGGCTTGCTCCTATACCTCCAACAGAGCTTTGCTAAATGTCACTTTCTCAAAGTCTTCGGTAGCCACTCTATTTACAATGACAACCCGCCACCAGGGGACTGGTATTCCTTACCCGGTTCCCTGCTTTACTTACCATATCAGTTTTCTCTTCTGGCATATTTATGATTATTTTGTTGTTTATTTCTACCCGCCACCACCATTGCACTGCAGAAAATCACTGAAATAAGACAAGAATCTTTGTCCGCTTTCACAACATCATCTCTAATGCTTACGACAGTGCCAGGCCCAAAATGGAAGCTAAATGCAGCCACTTAATTCAGTAATGAATCAAACTGGAGCATGTTGTGTAGATGTAACTTGAAGACTTTCAGGTTGAGACCCAGATGTTGTTGCAGATGGCTACAGTTCACAGCCATCCTAGAGGGCACAGCAGAAATGCTCCCATTGGGTTTCCTTGATCATCTTTAGAGACCCATTGGGCACATCTACACTTTCTTTTTGGATCACTATGAGTCCGAGTCAACTCAATGGCAACAGGTTTGGGGGTTTGGAATCTTATGGAAGCAGATCACCAAGTCCTCCACCCATGGCATCCCTGGTAGGTTCAATCCACTGATCTTTCAATTAGTAGGCAAGCACTTAACCACTGTGCCACCAGGGCTGCCTTCCAGCAAAGACATAGTGTTGCTCTTGTTGTTGTTGTGTGCCGTGGAGTCGGAACCGACTCATAACGACCTTGTACAGGGTTTCCGAGGCTGAAAATCTTTACAGGAGCAGAAAGCCTTATCTTTCTCCTGTGGAACAGCTCATAGTTTCGAACTGCTGACCATGAGGTTTGCAGCCCGATTCGTAACCACTACACTATCAGAACTCCAAAGACTCAGCAGGCAGTTGGAATTGGGTGACTGGAGGTCACAACAGAGGGCAGGAATTGAAGGTTTAGGGCCATTAGTATAAATGCACAGCAAACCCAGAAGGACCAGGTGACACGAGGATGAAGAGGGGCCATAGTGTGTAAGAGCACAGACTCAGATGCCTGACAGCCTGGCCCCAAGGCTTGCCAATCTTGAGCAAATGCACAACGCTCTCGCTGCCTCACTTTCCTTATTTCTAAGACGGGGGTTTTATTGACAGCATGCATATAACAATCCCAGAACAGCCTGGCACATAGAATGCACACACCCAATAAAAGCAAGGGGAAGCATGGCATTTCTCTCAATAAAAGAGGCAGCATTCATCTATCTGGAAGCTGGAGTTTATTTTCTAGCACTATGGAGTCCTGGTGTGGTGCTATAGTATCAGTATTGGACTGCTAACCACAATGCTGGCATTTCAAACCCACCAGCAGCAGCTCCTTAAACCCTATACAAGGTCGCTATGAGTCGGAACCAATTCCATAGCACTTAGCAACAACAACAACAACAACAATCATTCCCGGTGTGGCGCTGTAGGATAAGCCCTGGTTCCGCTCATGGAAACGCCATGTATCATGGAGCAGAACTGCTCCATAGGGTTTTCTTGCCATTTGAATTGCAAGGTCAGTAGTTCAAGCTCACCAGCTGCTCCTCGGAAACCCTATACAGGGTCGCTCTGGGTCAGAACCGACTTGACGGCACTTACCAACAACAATCTGTAAAAAAGTAGATTGTCAGACCATTTCTCCCAGGGTGCCAAAGGGAAAGATTGAACCACCAACGTTGAGGTTAACAGTCAGGCACAAACTATGTGTGCCGCCTAAGAACTTTAACTTAGTCTTACTGATTTCTAAAACAGAAATGATGATAATCCCTACACTTCAAGTTCCTCGAACTAGGACCTGGATACTAGGTACTCAATACATAAATGTGCAATGAATACATGAGGTATTGTGAGGGATTCACAAAACATTTAGCACTGTTCCGGGCACACTGTCAAAAAACAACAGATGATCCCTTAGCCAAGATGGAAGCTGCACAAAGTCTTGTGTTTTTGTGACTGGCAGTTGGATTGGCATTCTTGTGACCAGGGACTATTTAAGGAACCTAATGTCAGGTCTGAACTTTAAAAAGCGTTCTCACTTCATCTTTTAAGAGAACAGATTTACTTTAAGTAGGGTTTTGTTGAAGTACTAAGCCTTCTTATAAGTGCACTTAAAGTGATTAGATACTGGTATCAGCGTTTGTTGTGGGTCTTGGAACAGTAAAAGAGCAGCCTCGATAGTTGTTTTATTTGCATTTACGTTTTCTTTTATCGCCCAGTGTAATACCATTCAGAGCAAGGTGGGCTGATAACCTTTTGTGTTTGATTCTTCATGTACTACTTTTACAAAAGCTGAAGTGGCTTGGTGGTGGCTTTATAACAACACGTGCAATCGTGTACTATGAAGCTTGTATCTATGAAAATATCAGTAAGAATTTAAGAACTGATTGTTTTTTGTGGGTTCACCTATTTGAAGGCCCTGATTACAAAAGAATGTGTGTCCACTGCAAATTATTTTAAAACCAGAAAAGCTCAAAGGAGAAAACTCTACACACACATCATTGAAATCTTTCACCATGCTCCCTCTCTAGAGAACGGTGAATGTGTAGAAACACACAATTCACAAATACTAAACTTATTATTACATACTTGCTTTTAAATTAGTTAGTAATGTCTTCATTCATTTCTTTATTCAAGCAACTTCAGGACTTTCTAGGTACCAGGCATTCGGGAGAAAGATGAGGTTTTCTGCTCCCATAAAGATTTACAGAGTTGGAAATCCTATACAAAGTCATTATGGGACAGAACCGACTTAAGGCACACCACCACGTAACAGCATTACACGAGATACAGACTGAGGACCATAAAGGAATCATTACAATCACTGAGCTACATATTAATAAAACTACAGATAAAGTCTTACAGGGCCACACAGGAGGGAACAGAGAGAACTCTCTGGGGTGCAGAGCTGTTAAGAAGATGACAACCAAGCTGCTCCAATGAGGCGATTATGGAAGTTCACCAAGGAAAGGAGAGACAGAGAAGGAGAAGAAGGCATGTCAGCAAGGATGGAGCCTAAAGTCCCCCAGATATAAAACTGCATAGCTACTTTGAGATGCTACAAAAATCCACGGTGGCTCAAATGGTGGAAGAGTCAGGGCGATGAGACCAGAAATGTAGGAACCAGGCAATAACTAGCCATTGTGCAATTTGAAGCAGGGGGCAGACGTGCTTAGATTGATATTGTGATTAGAAAATATGCTGCAACATGAAGGATTTAAGAGAGTCTGAGGTGCAGTGAATTGTTTCATGTCTCTTCTAGCCACAGTCTTTGTCAACTCCCACCAAACCTCTTCCTGATGGTTTTATTATCTAGAGTTTTAGTAACATGTAACTCAGTTATTGTAATGATTGCTTTGTGCTCCTCAGTCTCTGTATCTCATTGTGTGCCTTGAGTCAGTTCTGACCCATAGTCACTTTTCATGGTCGCTGTGTACAAACACGTTAAGTGCTGGAGATACAAAGAAGATATGTCCCCATGCCTAAGCCCCAAGAGCTTACGCTCTAGTAGGAAAAAAATAATAACATGTAGTAGATTTGCTTGTCCAGCAACAAACTAAGTCAGGAAGACAGATACCAAACCAAGCCTACTGCTGTCAAGTCAACTCTGATGCAACAACCACAACCCTGAGGAATGTACAGAGGCAGACTGACACGTCTCTCTCCCATGGGGAGGCTGGTGGGTTTGAACAACTGATCTCAGGTTGGCAACCAAGTGTTTACCAATGTATAATCAACACTGCTTTTGGCAGACAAATAATAGAGTCCCTATAATTGCAACTGAAGTTCTCTTCAATTGGAGTCCTGGTGTGGTGCTGTGGTTAATGAGCTGGACTGCAAAGTCAGCTGGAACCGCAAGGTCAGCGGTTCAAGCTCACCAGCTGCTCCTTGGAAACCCTATACAGGGTCACTATGGGTCAGAACTGACTCGACAGCACTTAACAACAATTGCAATTGCACTCCTGGTGTGGTGCTGTAGGATCAGCATTGGGCTTCAAATCACAAGGTCAGCAGTTCAAGCCCACCAGTTGCTCCTTGGAAACCCCACACAGGGTGGCTATGAGGCAGTAACCACATCATTGCAATACACACAATGGATGGTGAAATTAAGTGTTTACAAAGTGCATGGAGCACGGAGGGGCGAGGGGCGAGTGGTCAACTCTACTCTGAGATTAGGTAAACTGGGGACATTCTCACAAAGGAAATAACATTAGTTTAAAAATTCTTCTCAAATCATTCATCTGGAAACATGGTAAAGGGCAAAACGATATTCTAGGCAAAATAAACAGCATGAGCAGAGGCAAGGAAGTGGCAAACAGCATGGACTATTTGGGGAACTGCAGACAATCTACTATGCTAAAGGACTAAATTCACAGCAGCAAGCACACTGCAAACAGATAGGCTTTGCTGGCTATGAGGAGTTCTTAGATAATCAAATCAAGACATTGCATCTCTCGATTCCAGTTTCCTCACAAATTAAATCAAGTAGATTAGACTGGATTACTTCAGAGGTTCTGTCTCAATATCTCTACCAAACACATAACTACAAATTTATAAAAACATTAAAACACTTTACCTGCTGATAAAATTCATCATCTCTGGGGGTCAGATAAGGAAGCCACGTGTCTTCAAGCTCTTCAAGAAGCCTCTGTTTCTGTTGAAATGAATAACAATTACACACAACTGAATACACAGTAACCTCAAACACAAGGCAACCCCTCATTTTTCCAATGGAGAAAATACCAAAATAATTTAGGCAATTTTAATAAATACTTTTAGAGACACAAATTAAGCACCTCTAAAAGTAAATGCCAATTATAATATATAGTGGCTTGATTATACATTTTAAATTACATATTATACGAAACATTAATTTATAAGTAATGATTCTATGCACTCACACAGTTCATGAGACAATCTGATCCACATTCCACATGTGCATCTTTGACACCACCAGTGTCCCCTCTTATGCCATCCATTGCAGTTTTCCAATTTACATAAGCAGTTTGAAGCCATAGTAGTTTTTGCATCCTTAGTCCTGGTGTGGCGCTGTGGGTTAATGTGCTGGACTGCAAAGTTGGTTTGAACTTCAAGGTCGGCGGCTCAAGCTCACCAGCTGTTCCTCGGAAACCCTATACCGGGTCACTGTGGGTCGGAACTGACTAGACGGAACTTAACAACAACATGACATTATCAGGACTCCTGGTGTGACCCTGCAGGACCAGCACTGGACTGTGAACTACAAGGTCAGCAGATCAAACCCACCATATATTTCTTGGAAACCCTATAAAGGGTTGCTATGAATCGGAATTGACTTGATGGTACTTAGCAACAACATGATACCACCACTAGAAATACCAACCCAAGCAACAAGTATAACATCAAGATACCTAAAACTTTTATTCACCCAGTAAATATGTGTTTGAGATCATATCCAATTATGTTGTTGTTGTTAAGTGCCCTTAAGTCAGCCTGACTCAGTGACCCTATAGGATTTCCAAGGTTGTAAATCTTTGCAGGAGTAGAAAGCTTCATCTTTCTCCCACATATCCACAGTTTTAAAGCAGTCTTTGAGCTCTAGAATAATGACTGCATCACTGTTAAGCATTTTTACATCTTGACTTTTTAGTTTTTATAAAGATAGCATAAGAATCCACAGTTAGCACTGTCTAAGCTATTTCATGTTTCTGTGTCTTCCCCAGGACTACTGGTATGGCAGTATAGGATCAACACTAGGTGGGCAGTTCAAACCCACCAGTTGCTCCTCGGAACCCCTATACAGGGTCATTATGAGTGGGAACCAACTTGATGGCACTTCAACAACAAGTCTTCCCCAAGAGTTCCATGATGTTCAGACGGCAAGATGGTGGACTAGGCAGACACTCTAAACAGACCCTCTACAACAAAGGTCTGAAAAATCGGATGAAACCCACATAGATGAAAGTCCTGGGACCCTGAACATCAGAAGAAGGTTAGAGGAGTGGACTGACTACATGCTGGGAGGAGAAGCTAAGCAGGGACAGCGAGAGAGGGAGACAGACTGCTGTACAGCCAGCCTGATGTGGCACGACCGTCTTGGGAGCAACTTCGACTACAGAAGAACCCAAGAAAGGCGTGATTCCTTTGTCCATACATTCCCACAGTAACCAGAGGTATGGTCACCTCCCATGCTCATCCACTCCCAGCTCAGATCCTTCTCTCCAGGAGTTCAGAACCACATGGTTGGGAAGGTGGGGGCCTGCCGTACCACTTCAGTGCACCACTTTGGTGCCTGGATTAAAGCAGGCTCAACTCCAGACCTGCAGAACCCTCAGAGCTACCAGACCTTCATTTAACCATCCACCCTGCCCCAGCTGCCCTGTGGTCCTAACAGACACTGAAACCTCCACAAACTACTTCCGATTGAGTGCCCTGGGCATCCATAGGAGCCAACAGGAACTCCATCTCGAGCCAGGAACTCTGCTGTCATATCCCTCCCACTTCCGCTTCACAAGAACCTTGGCTTGTAGCTTTCTCTTCTCTAGCCCAACAGCTACACTGACTTTGTGGTTTGGGTTTTGTTGTTTGATTTTTTTCCTTTTCTTGTGTCACTGTGGTTGTTTGTTTATTCTTTCTCCTCCTTCTTCTCTTTCCATTCCCCTGACATTTATCCTTTCTATCTCTGCTGCTGTCCCCTTTTCTTCTGGTTCTCATTTCCCATCTCATCCCCCCTCCCCCCATTTTATACATTTTTACAACAACTCTCTATTTTTTTTCTTACCTCTCCCTAGTATTCTGATTTTTTCTTCTTTTTCATGTTATTTCCTTTCTTATTTATCTCTTCTATAGTTCCACTTTCCCGTCCCTCTTCTCTTTCTTACTTTTGTGTTATTCTTCCTTTTATTTTCTCTTCTATAGCTCCATTTCCCTGTCTCTCTTCCTTAGAAATCCTATACAGGGTCACTATGAGTCAGAAGTGACTTGACAGCACTTTAAAACAACCTACATCTTTATAGTTACTGTGTTCCATTTTTCTGATTGCTGCCTGTTTTTATTTCTTTATTCTCTTTATTATTTTTTTTCCTTGTTGATTCCTTGATTGTTTATTCTGTTTTCTTGTGTTTGTGTGTAGAGGTGTGTGTGTGTGTGGGGGGGGTCTCTTTACCATACAAAAGGAGATAGCAATCATGTCCACAGAGCCCAGCATAACCGTACCCTCTACCACTCCCTCCACTGGGCAAGAGCCAGTACTGACACCTACACCTCCTTATCAATAAAGACAGCAGGCAGCACTAGCCTAACCCATCCTAAACAGAGATGCACAAAAGGCGAACAAGAACAATGTACACACTTCCATTCTCTAACTACAATCCAGAGGAGACAGTTGGTGACAACCTGAGAAGACACCAACAGGCAGTCACCAATTACAAATACGACAACCCAACAATGCCCTGGGCACAACAGACAATTTTATCTCACATGTAGAAACAAGAGACCAAACAAATGATCAAGATGCAGAGCCAAGAAAGGTTTCTGGAGAAGAAAGGATAATGGAACTAACTTAAAAAGATTTCAAAAGAATGATGATTAAGTACCTTCAGAAAATCGCTAGAAAGCTCAAGAAAGTGACTGGCTTACAAGCTTTCAAGAAGGAACCTAGATCCAGAGGGCCTGGAGGAAGGTAGAGTCTCCAGTGAGTAGTATTCAATCTGTCTAGGTGGGGTTGATGCAATGAAATGCAGACGGGTCTCTTGTGATACAATAGTGAATAATTGTTATCAGGACTGATTGTGAGGGTTGGAAATGTAAAGGTAGATGTTTTATAGCAAGGAGGGGAGTGATTAACTTTTCAGTCTAGGAGCGGAGGTCCCTAGGACCATCAAGGGAGAAGAGCAGAGAGCGGGACCCTACCCAGAGAAGCAGTGATGCCTGAAATGGAGGCAGAGATGATGACATGAAACAATGGAGCAGCTTGTGACTTTAGATCCAGAGAGGGAGAGCGACTGTGTGCTGAAGACCTGGGGGGTATGGGGGAAGGATTGCAGGGTATACACTTTGGTTGGTTGATGATGCATGGAGGGGATTGTAACCATGGCAATGAGACGATATACAATAGAATGAATGTAAGACTAGTGTTCTCCCATGTAAACTATCACATAATTCACAATAAAACATTTAAGAAAAACAAAACAAAATGCAGACTCTGAAAAACCCTTAATAGGTATGACAAAGCAATGCAGATAAACTATAAAGATTCTCACCAGCACCAGCAAATGGCTGGAGACAGTAAGGTAGTACCTCAACAGTGCTAGGGAAAAAATGATGGGCATATGGAATTTTAAACTCAAGAGATCTTTGATTCATTAGTAAGAAAAACAAGACAACTTCAGACAGAAAAATACTCCGTAGGCCTGTCAATTGCTTCAATTTACCAAAAAAGAAAAGTGAATCCAGATGGAAGGGTTTATCAGAGAAGAAATGAGGAATTGATCAAATGTACTGGGGAATTCACTTTACTATTGATTTAAGATGGATTTCTGGTGTGGCACTGTAGGATAAGCACTGGACTGCAAGGTCGATATGAACCGTAAGATCGTGGTTCAAATCCACCAGCTACTCCTTGAAGACCCTAAACAGGGTCGCTATGAGTCGGAACCGACTCAATGGCACTTAACAACAACAATAACAATTAACTTAAAATATTATTTTTTGCTTTAAAATAAATCTAAAACAAAATTATAAGCAACAGTAATCAGTGAAAAGAACATAAAACTGAGGAAGTAACAGTGTGATCTCATATCTGTTGTTGTTGTTAAGTGCCTTCTAGTCAGTTCCAACTCATCTTGACCCTATGTTATCCAAAGAGAAGTTGGAGGGTTTGAACCATCAACCTTGCAGCTAGAAATCCAGTGCTATCTTCCAGTGCCACACCACAAAAGAAGATATATAATATTATGGATCTCTAAAAATAATAAGAAAATTGGTATCTTTGAGAATTCAGATGAAATTGCTATACTTCCTAAAATACATAAATTACTTAAATTGCTTTAAGAAGAAATAGAAAACTGAATAAAGATATGAAATAAATTAATGATGTAATGGAGTCTTGGTTGAAAGCAGAGGGTATCAGAAAAATGTTTACTTGTGCTTTATTGACTACGCAAAGGCTTTCGATTGTGTGGATCATGCCAAGCTATGGACAACATTGCGAAGTATGACTATTCCAGAACACTTAATTGTGTTCAATAGCCTCATATGCTCATGAGGAATCTGTACCTGGACCAAGAGGCAGTTGTTGGAACAGAACATGGGAACACTGAATGGTTTAAAATTAACAAAGGTGTGCAACAAGGTTGTATTATTTCACCATACTTATTCAACCTGTATGCTGAATAAACAATCCAAGAAGCTGGGTTCTATGAAGAAAAATATGGCATCAGGATTAGAGGAAGAGTCACTAACAACCTGTGATATGCAGATGATACAACCTTGCTTGCTGAAAGTGAAGAGGATTTACAACATTTACTGATGAAGATCAAAGAGCACAGTCTTCAGTATGGATTACATTGCAATGTCAAGAAAACAAAAATCCTCACCACAGGACCAATAAACAACATTGTTATCAACAGAGAAAAGACTTAATTTGTCAAGGATTTCATTGTTCTTGGATCAACTATCAACACTCACGGAAGCAGCAGTCAAGAAATCAAACGATGTATTGCATTAGGCAAATCTGCTGCACAAGACCTTTTAAAGTGTTGAAGAACAAAGATGTCAGCTTGAGGACTAAGGTGTGCCTGACCCAAGCCATGGTATTTTCAATAGCCTCATATGCGTGTAAAAGCTGTACAGAGAATAAGGAAGACTGTAGAAGAATTGATGCAATTGAGTTATAGTGTTGGAGGAGAATATTGAAAGTGCCATGAGCTGCCAAAAGAACCAATAGATCTGTGTTGGAAGAAGTGCAGCCATAGTGCTCCTTGGATGCCAAGATGGCCAAACTTCATCTCTCATACTGTGGACATATTGTCAGAAGGGACCAGTCACTGGAGAAGGATATCATATTTGGTAAAGTGGAGGGTCAGAGAAAAAGAGGAAGACCCCCAATGAAATGGATTGGCCAAGTGTCAGCATCGATGGACTCAAGTGTGGCAAGAGTAGTGAGATTGGCCTAGGATCGGGCAGTGTTTCATTTTGCTGTGCACAGGAACGCTATGATTCGGTACCAACTTGATGGCACCTAACAACAATATCATGCTATACAAGGCCCACTTAAACAGGATATACCAAAGATAGGTAATTCTCATTTCCCTTCCACCTTTTTAAAGAGTTTTATTGCAGTAAAATATATGTAACAAAAAGATTGCCATGTGGTGCTGTGGGTCAATGTGCTGGACTACAAAGTTGGTTTAAACTGCAAGTCGGCAATTCAAGCTCGTTGGAAATCCTATACAGGGGTCCCTATGGGCCAGAGCCAACTCAACAACACTTAACAACAACAATTGTACATTTGGTTACATTCAGTATGATGACATTATTTAAAGTATCTGAGACCTCACAACTTTCCAAATAAGGAAAATTCTCAATTCTTAGCTCTTCCAATATGGTTCTTCATCACGCCCTTCATTCTCTTTTTCTGGAAGTCCTAGTAGATATGTGTTGGAACCTCTCACTGTCTTCCAAGTCTCATATCTGTTCTTTATTTTATGACTAGGAACCAACTTGACAGCACTTAACACCATTACCTCTTTATACTATAATCTGGTTGAATTCCTCAGAACTCTCTTCCAATTCACAAATTCTCTTTTTAATTGTATCACATCTACAATTCATCATATATAGTGAGTTTATTCAATGTGACTGTATTTTGCATTTCCAAAATTTGTAACTTGTTCTTTTTCATTCTCCATTTGCATGTTTTGTTTTAAATTTCATTTTCACCAACATAATGCTTTCATTTAACCTGGTGTAGTGCTGTGGGTTGATGCGCTGGATTGCAAAGTTGGTGTGAACCGCAAGGTTGGCGGTTCAAGCTCACCAACTGCTCTTCGGGAACTTATACAGTGTTGATATAGGTGGTAACCAACTCAATGGCACTTAACAATAACAATCTCGAATATGCTTTAGTCTTGGACTGATTTTTCTGTAAAATTAATTCCACTTGGAATGAATTCATATTCTCTTTGTTAATTTAGTTAGCTGCCTTTCTTGGCACTTAGTGTCTCCAATTATTTTGGTGTTGTGGTTTGAAAGCTAATTCTAAGTGAAAGGTTTTTTGGGTCTTTCTTTTAGTCCTTCCCCTCCTTTCCTGCTGTCTGTGCTCAGATGTTTCTCTACAGTGGTGCTGCTCTTGCCTGTACCAGGCTCCAGGATCACCAGTTCAAAGCCAAGTCTCACATAATGGTGACTTGTGGCACCACATTCGCTCCCAACTACATTCCACAAGTAAGAGCCTCATTCAGTTTCTCTTCTTGGAATTCTGTCTTCTCCTGTCTCTCAAAACTCCCAGCTCCATACAAGTCATAGCCCCACACGG